CTACATTGCATGAAAACTTTATTTCCCTACTTCTCAAAGTCATTTGTTTTTTAGCAAAAACTGTTGAATTACAACAATTATTTAACTTTTGGTTAAAAAAAATATTGAAAAAGATGTTTTTGCTCCTTCTCGGTCATGCTTTAACCAGTTTCATTCGTAATTGGCATTTGAGTGATAAATGATGCATTAGACTTTTCTAATTTATTTTTTTCTGGTCAGCAAGGACACTGCCAAAAAAAGTATGTCTGTATCAACTTTTTACATTTTCTTGAAAGCACAAGTCCAATTAGTTTGATACTTGATATATGTGTACCTCAAATGAACCTCTCAGATTTGTTAATTTTGTTACGACATCTTTAATCCTCCTATTTTGATAAATATTTTTGGTAAAAGTGATATTTTTTGTCGAACGGAGCTTGTGATTGTCTGTTGTCGTCCGTGTCAATGTTTTACATTTTCAACTTCTAGAAGCCTGAATGCTTTGATACTTGGTGTATATGTACCTTGGGTAGACCTCTCTCAGATTTGTTCATTTCATGATGATATCTTTAATTCTCTAATTTTGGTGAATATTTTTGTCATTTTTGGTGAAAAGTGATATTTTCGACTTCTTGTTAAAAACTCCAAGTCCAATTGCTTTGATATTACATATATAGGTACTACATGTGGACCTCTCCCAGATTTGTTCATTTTGTAATGATATCTTTAATTTTCTAATTTTGGTCATTTGAATGTCACAATGTACAATGTACTTTTTGTATTAAACCCAGTTCAGCATGTGTATGAGGTAATTTTGAAGCAACTATTGCCAAATCTTTCAATTTTATCATTAGTAGTAGTAATCATCACATTTCAATGAAATTTGGTACATAGATATCATAGGACACTGCACAGACCTGATTAGTTTTGGGGTAAATATTTGTGCATATTAATCACCTTATTAGTATAATTAGTAAATTTTCAGCTTTTCGCCTGATAACTCAAGTACTGATCATCATATTTCAATGAGACTTGCTACATAGATCCTCTAGGACTATGCAGAGACCTGATTAGTTTTAGGGTAAATAATTGTGGATATTAATTACCTAATTCGCATAATTAGTTATTTTTTTCCATGAATGTTCCACTAATTGGATTTTAATGAAACTTTTACAAAGTATTCATCATCACATTTCAATGAACCTAGGACTATGCAGAGACCCAATTAGTTTTTGGTAAATATTTATGCTTATTAATCACCTAATTAAAATAATTAATTAACACTGATATCTCAATTACTGATCATCACATTTGAATAAAATTTGGTACATAATTGCTCTAGAACAATAGACAGACCCGATTAATTTTGGGTCGAAATTTGTTCATATTAATATTCTCTAATAATAATTCATAGTTATTTTTGTTCTAATCACATTTCAATGAAACTTGGTACATAGATATTGCATTACGCAGGCCTTATTAGTTTTACACTCAAATCCGTTCATATCAGTTACCTGATTTACATAATTAGTTTTCAGCTTTTCCATCAATATCTCAAGTACAAGTAATTTTGAATTAATTTACGTGTCTTCAATACTCTCAGCACACGGGAGTTCTTTCTAAGCTTTCTTTGATTTGCTCTTATACCAGCAACCATTGGGCCAATTTAGTTCATATGTGGTAGGATCACACCTTGAAATGAGTAGATGTGCTTCCGACAGTAATGACCACACCCTCCCAAAATATGCAAATTAGATCAATGCAGTTATTTGCTGCTATCTCTACCACCACTGTGTTGATTTTATTTATATTTGGTATGATTACACCTAGACACGAGTAGATGTGCTTTTGGCAATAATGACCACACCATTCAATTAACAGAGGTCAATTAACAGATCAACGAGTGAGGGCGTGATTTCGGCACAAGCCGAGTGAGTCCTGATGTAGGTCCCGAAAAACGTGAACACAACTGCTGTAACCCTCTCCAAACATAAAAGATTAAAAATTTCGGAATGTGACGAGATCCCATAACATTAATGTAGTAATAGTGTATCATCAGTTTTTATTTATTTTTTATATGGCAATGCTGAGGTGGTATAGTAATATTTTAGTTTAATTGACCTTGCATATTGTACTATGTGTATATCAATTATTCTGTGTATACTATTTACTGAAAACAGAAACTCATAAATATTTGTTATTGTTTTTTTAATAGATCAAGATGGTGCTGAACCCAGCCCTAATTCAATATCTGTGATGAATCTATTTAGATTATCCAACTACCTAAACAATGAAGAATGGTACAAAAAAGCTGTTGACTTGTTACAGGTGTTCAGTGAGCGATTGGAAAAAATCCCATTGGCCCTGCCAGAGATGGTGTGTGCCATCATGTATAATGTTGGGGCACCAAAACAGGTAGGACACTCAGTGCTGCTTATAAAATAGATATCTTATATTTGTCCATATCTGTTTATAGTATAGTTCCGTCTGTCCATACGTAATAATAATAATAATAATAATAACTTTATTGCATCCTTAGAATTACAAATGTTCTATTGGTTTACAGCAATAAATATATAAGTGATTAAAATAATATCAAAGTATGATAACGTAAAAAATAGAAAAAAAAGAGTCAAGGTATTATATCCAAAAGCTCATTTCTTAAAATAAATGATTTATGTAAAAATTCCCCTAAAAGTTTTATTATATTTCTGTCATTACTTTTCATTAAATATGTGAATTTTTGCAGGTTGGTAATGATTTCTTTGGGGAATAAAATATTGGAAATAAAATCATTGTGTGATATCGTGGGCAAACTAAAAGAAAGTGTAATTCGTCTTCAACTTCCTGTAATGGGCATTGTTTACAAATTCTATTTTCTAATGGGGTTTTTGGATTGGTATGTCTGCCTTTTTCAATGGCTAGATTGTGACTACTTGTCCTGAATCTAGCCATTGATATTCTTTGATTATTATCCA